TTATCCACATCTCTCTTGAAGTGTGGCACCCCAAAGGAGTTTAGTCTCTCCTTATATGGAAGCCCCTCCATACCACCATTATCCTTATTGCCCTTCTCTATACCTTCTATAAAGTATATAGAAGGTATATTCTATACCTATAAAGAAGGTATAGAATAAAGATATTCTATTTAGCAAACTATGTGTAGCTTTTTCAGCCTTCTTGCCTTCACATCTTGAATTTCCTCCATCCAGATAGAAGGTGATATGAAGTGGGGATAACGGAGACTTTGTGGCCTTTCCTACACTTGTCTTGATTAACTGGGATCTGCTAATTAGCAGTTAGACTATACCTGTCGTGTGTGTGTGTTGGGGTGGGTTGTTTTTTTTTTTAGTGTTACTATGCTGCCTGCTCATTTAACCAAAGAAGTTTTGTCACACTGTGCATCATGTTGATGTGAAGATGGGATGATGGGAGAAGGAAGCTTATACTTTGCTATAGAACCTGCAATTAGCATATATCAGTCACATAGCAGATCGACACCGATAAAAGGAAAATTAACATTAATCGGTAATCAGCTTTTTCTGGCCGGTGTAGCTGATGTCACTAATAAATGCTGCGTCTGTGTGTGCAGCCACAGCATGCACACGGCCAGGAATGCAGCCTGGCAAGGAGCGTCCAGCTGGTAAGTCGATGGAGGGGCAGGGGGAGATAAAAGTGGCGGAGGGCAGGGCAGACCAAGGTCCTGACAGTGAGGGAGGGATTGGGGCAGGGGAAGGTACAAGGCAAACCCCAGGGCCGGAAATGGGAAGAAGCTAAGGGCAGCTTGTCTGGCAGGTGCAGGGAGGGGGCGTGAGGGGATGTGCAGCTCCCTGCCGCTGCATACACCCCAGGGGAGGCATGGGGAGTGTGTGCCCCCCAAATGCTGGGCCAGGGCTGTGTTCAGGGTGGGCGGTGCTGGGAGGGGTGGCTATGAGGAATTTTGGGGTGGCTATAGCCCACCCCATAGCCACAACGATTCAACAATCATCACCCCTCCCCGTAGACTATTGCTTGAATACTCCAAAACCAGCATTTCGTTTTTGGACACCACAATTGATATCCAAGATGGTAAAATTCAAATCACCATGTATAAGAAACCCACAGACCAACATACATATCTACACAGAACCAGCAATAACCCTAAGCACACCAAGAAAGCTGTAATATATAGCCAAGCTCTCTGATGCCACTGAATTTGCAGTGAGGAAAATACCTGTGACCACCACCTCACAAATCTCAAAAGGTCCTTCAACCAACAAGGACACTCCTCCAGAGAGAGAGATTGCATTTTTGCCAGGGGATTGGAAACTGGCTAATGTGGTCCCAATTTTCAAGAAGGGAAGGAAGGAGGACCCAAGTAACTATAGGCCTGTAAGCCTCACTTCGGTGCTCGGGCAGATCTTGGAGAGAATCATCAAGGAGCACATCTGTGGGGGGCCTGCAGGGGAGATCATGCTCAGGGGCAATCAGCACAGGTTCATCAAAGGCAGGTCCTGCCAGACCAACCTGATTGCCTTTTATGACCAAGTAACTAAATCGTTGCATGATGGTGTCGCTGTGGACGTAGTCTTTCTAGACTTTAAGAAGGCCTTTGACACTGTCTCTCACCCCATCCTCATCAATAAATTAAGCGACTGCGGCATTGATGCCTGCACAGTTGGATGGGTAAAAAATTGGCTGATGGGGTGCACCCAGAGAGTAGTGGTGGGTGAGATGTGAGCAGTGGGGTACCCCAGGGCTCGGTCCTCAGGCCCACACTGTTTAACACCTTCATCAGCAACTTGGACAAGGGGGTGGAAAGCACGCTGTCCAAATTTGCTGATGACACTAAGATGTGGGGCGAGGTGGACACACTTGAAGGGAGAGAGAGGCTGCAACTAGATTTAGACAGACTACAAAAGTGGGCGGATGAGAATAGGATGAGGTTCAACGTAGACAAATGCAGGGTGCTGCACCTTGGGAGAAGGAATCCACAGCATACATACAGGCTGGGGAGTTCCCTTCTTGAAAGCACACCCCAAAATCAGTGGACTGGCACCAAGATGAATCTGCTCTCCCACCCCGCTATTCTCTCCTTCTCATGGGACTGCCGCACCTCCTTTTTGCCCTTCCGGATAACTACAGCCCTCCAGATCCCTGCAGAGCTACAGGGGAGGGCTGTGCCTATCAACAGCAAATAGGCAGAGCCCTTTTCTCCCCAGCACCACCTGGGGTGACAAGGAACAATGGTAATAAGCTGATGGAGAATAGGTTTAGGTTAGAGATCAGAAGGCAATATTTTACAGTTAGGGTGGCCTTTCATAGCTACTATGAAACTATGAAACCCCCAGGGTAGGAGCCAGCACCACTTCTCTTGGAAATTGATTCCAGATCCTAGCTGCCCTGACAGTGAAGTAGTGCCTCCTGAGGTCTAGTCTGAATCTACCCTCTGACAGCTTGTGACCATTATTTCTAGTCACTCCTGGTAGTGCTCGGGGGAACAGGGACTCCCCCAGTGCCTGCTGGTCCCCTCTGACTAGTTTGTAAATGGCCACTAGATCCCCCCTCAGTCTTCTCTTATGGAGGCTGAACAGGTTCAGGTCCCTTAGCCTCTCCTCATAGGGCTGCCCTGCTGCCCCCTGATCATGCGAGTGGCTCTCCTCTGGACTCTCTCCATGTTGTCCACATGCCTTCTGAAGTGTGGCGCCCAGAACTGGACGCAGTACTCCAACTGCAGCCTGACCAGTGTCGCATAGAGGGGGACGATCACCTCCTTGGACCTGCTTGAAAGGTACGGTTGGCCTTCCTGACCGCGTCCCCACACTGTCGGCCCATGTTCATTTTGGCATCAATAATGATTCCAAGATCCTTTTCTACCTCTGCTCCGACAAGAAGGGAGTTCCCTAACCTGTAGGTGTGCTGCTGGTTCTTCCCCCCAGGTGCAGTACCTTGCACCTGTCAGTGTTGAAACCCATCCTGTTCTCATCTGCCATCCCCTGTAACCTGTCTAGGTAGGTCCGACTGCAGGCTATTCCTCCTTTCTAGCATGCCTACTTCCCCCCACATCTTAGTGTCGTCTACGAATTTGAACAGGGTGTTTTTACCCCCTCGTTCAAGTCGCTGATGAAGAACAAGAAATGCAAAACCTGCCAACATCTCCTACACCCCCACAATAACTACACCCCACAACAGAACCATCACCATTCCTAGATCTTACATCTGCACCTCCAGAAATGTTATACATCTCATCCAGTGCACCAGATGCCCTGATGGAAAATATGTAAGAGAAACCAAACTGTGCACCAGAATGAACTGAAAATCTATCAAAGACAAGAATGCCCAACTACCTGCGGGGGCACACTTCTCACAGGAAGAATCACTCCCTCTCCCATCTCTCAGTTCTAATCCTCAAAGGGAACTTACAAAACACCTTCTGTAGATGAGCCTGTGAACTTTGCTTCATAAATCTACTGGATACAAAAAATCACGGACTCAGTATAAACACTGGATTTATGACACATTACAACCTGCTTGACATCTGATTCACCAGGTTACTTGCCTGACCTTACCTCTTATATTCTTCTCTTCCCCCACTTTTTCTCCCCTCCCCTTCTTTTCTGCCTGTTGTCTCCCTGATTTCCTACTATTTCCTTCTTCATCGAGAGACTCTTTCTTACCCTGTATTATTATCTCTGTAATGTTTCCCTTTGGCCTTGTCTTCCCTGCTTTCTTCCCCATCCCTCCCCTGCTTTACCTCCTGTTTCTGCTTTCTACCTATTTACATTTTTGCTATGTCCTCGCACACTTTGAGCTTCTCTCATTCCTGTTTTCCTGATCTCCAACTATTGTCTTTTTCACCGACAGCCTCTTTTTCACCTTGTAGCCTGCATCACTGTAATGCCTCCCTTTAGCCTTTTCCCCCTGCTCTCTTCCCCCTCCCCTCTCTGCTTTACCTTCTGTCTTTCTAATTTCTACCTATTTACATTCTCACTGACATCCTGCCACACTTTTAGCTTCTCTCATTTCTTGGGGTCTCTACGCCTGAAGAAGGGTGACTGCGCCTGAAAGCTTGATAAGAACTTTGCTCCAACTACTCAGTTGGTCTAATAAAAGAGATTGCATCTCCTCAAAGAACCTTGCCTGCCTATGTCCTTAGACCGACACGGCTACAACCAGCATCCCTAGTTAATATGTAATTATTCTTCATGACCCATCTCACACAGGCATCGCGCCCTGTTTCCGTGAGCCGCTGCACTTCAGTGGCTCGGGATCTCCACGGGTAACATGCAGCTTCGAGGCAACAACCCTGCGCTCTGCACTGGAACAGACATCTAGTGACCTGATCATAGTCAGAGTTTGACAGAACCAAAACCAGAACACGAATCTTATTAATCCCACGGCTGTTCGTAAAAGCCTGGCCCCATCAAAAATGAGTTAAAAACCGTATAAACAGAGGCGGGAGAGGGCTGGAGGCAAGGACGAGGGGGTAAGGCACCAGGCTCAGCCCGGGATGTGCCAGGAGCTCTCAGCAGGGCTCAGGCCTCTCGTGAGCCAGCGGTACTCCCCGCGGGCGAAACGTTCCCCTCCCCCTCTGCCCCCGCTGCATGCTGGGAGCGCCCCCCGAGCGCCGCGGACTCCCTGGGGAGGCCCAGCCCCCGCCTCGCGCCGGTACCTGTTTGCCCTCTGGGGGCGAGGGCTGCGCCGGCTGGAGGGCCTGCACGGGTCCGGCCGGCATGGTGCCTCCTCAGGGCCCCACCGGGCCTCGACTCGTCCCGAGAAGCGCGGTAACAACTGCGCGCACCTAGGCCCACACCACCGCGCACAAGATGGCGGCAGCCCCGAAGGATGCGCACGCAACCCAA